AGCTGTCATTGTTGTTTGGCGGACCTGGGCTGGATTCGAACCCACCACCTTAGGTGTATGTGGCTGGCACCTTAGCCACTTGAGCCACAGGCGCCAAGCCAGTATGTTAGATATTTTTATCATGTGTTTTGTAATGTTTCCCCCTCCCCACTGGAATATTAGCTCCATGAGGGCAAGGACGTAGGAGAATTAATTAAAATTTCCACCCTAAAACAGGGTTCACAAAAGCAAATGTGCATAAGAGTTCAAATGCTACGTGGGACCAGAGTGAGAAACCTCATGGTATTCACAAAGGGCCTATGCCAGGACCTCAGAACTTGACCTGGCACACAGCCACACCCAGCAACAAACACCAAGGGCCAGGGGATGATGTGCAATTTTAAAAAACATACTTTTTACAGTTGCTTTACTTCCAAAACTTGAAATGCACAGCTGTCTTTCAATTAAACAGAAAATTACATTACATTCAAACATTCTCACTGCTTTGTGGGAAGGGCATGGGTGTCCTGGGCTTTGGCACCTGCCAAGCTTAGTCTCCCCAGCTGACTTGACTGGGACTGCCCAAGTGAAAGTTCAGTCCAGTTTGCACTCACACCTCTTCTCCAGGTCCGCCACCTCTTTCAGAACCAGAGCCACACTGTACCGCAGCTCCTGGAACTTAGCCATGGGGACCTCAAAGCAGTGTGCAGACCCATCTGAAAGCTTCAGCTGCATCAGGACGCTTGGCTGTAGGGAGCGAGCCAGGGTGCTGGTGGAGATTGCCACATCCACCCTCCACCGAAAGTCAGTGACGTGGGGCAGCCAGGTCCCCTGCTGGTGGGGCACAGATTCAAGGAGGGACCGCTGACTCCCAAATACCACACTGGTCAAGTCCCCAAGTAAATCTTGCGGGATACAGAGCTCCTGGAGCTGGTCCTTGAAGGCATCAGGCTTCAGGCTAGCGGGGGGCAGCCTGAGGGCTTGCTGAAGCAGGGTATGCAGTCCTGCAAGCAGGGAGCCCAGCCGCTCCTCTGACAGGCTGGCACTGGTCCCAAGACGCTGCACTGCCTCCCGGCAGTCCTCCCCCTGCACACTGTTGACTACAAGCTTCAGCAGCTTTCTGAAGGTGTTTCTGTCCAGATCACCTAGGAGCCGGGCCATTGCTGCCACCTCTGGAGGAAGCTGGGCTCCCAGAAAGCTCACTTGACCACTGTGACTGTCACCTAGATGATGCAGGTATGGAGCTGCGGCCCCCACAGCAGACATTGCTGCTTCTTACTCCTTGATCAGCCAGCCCCAAGTAGGTGCAAGATGCAGATACCTGGGGGTGGGAAAAGAAGACTAGTGACTCCCATGTCCTTTGATTCAATCAATGAGGATTGATGTGGTCCCTGGGGTTAGGATACTGACAGTGTTAACTATGAAATGACAGTCAATGGGCAGGGTGCAGTGGCTCACGCCTGTACTCATAGCATTCTGGGAGGCTGAGGCAGATGGATAGCTTGAGTTCATGAGTTCAAGACCAGCCAGAGCAAAAGCCAGACGCCCCTTCTCTACTAAAAATAGAAAAACTGAGGCAACAGGATCGCTTGAGCCCAAGAGTTGGAGGTTGTTGTGAGCGATGACGCCACAGCACTCTACCCAGGGCAAAAGCTTGAGACTCTCCAAAAAAAAAAAAAAGAAAAGAAAAGAAATGGCAATGTTATGGGAGCTGGAGCAGTGGCCCTGAGAGCAGGTGACAGAGGGGTCTGCACAGGAGAGGCCTCCCATAGTGCCATCTAAGACATGAAAGACAAGCAGAATTGGCAAGGAGGGGGAACAGGGAAGGACCAGGAAACAGGAGTGCTGTATGTTCTCCAAATAAGTAATATTGGAAAGAATGAACTAGGGAAAGCTCCAAGACCAGAGGGACACAGCAGGTGCTGGAGCAGAGACCAACAGAGCACAATTCCTGTCAGGTACTTGTCAGGCCCGGAACACTAAGCACAGCGGGGCCGGGACATGTTGGGGAACAGAGAGCTTTCCTCTGGGTACATGCCCCCCATTTTCCCAGGAATGCTGGGCCCCCTCACCCTGGCAGTCAACGACCACCCACTGCCAATTCTCACTGCCTCGCCAGGACTAAGTACTCTTTCCCGCTCTAACGGGAGGCCTTCCACGAGAATGGGCTTGGCGCTGCTCTCCAGGTCACAAGGCGGCCCGGACGCAGACTGAGCTCGCAGTCCTCGCCTCCGAAAAGGTTGCGGCCCCACCCGTTCTGGGGCGTGGGAACATTGGCGAGAAGTCGAGGCCGGCGCTGCGCAGCCACCCGACCCGCGCCACGGCCCAGGACGCCCTCAGCTCGCTCCGACCGCGGAAAAGCCCCACCCCTAGTCTCCAGGGCGCCCTGGACGTGGTGGCGAAGGGGCCGAGTCGTGCTCCGCCGCCCCTGCCCAAGTAGAGCGGCCCCAGCCCACGTCACCCGCAATGCCCGGGCTCAGGGATCTCCCCACCTTGGCCGAGCGATCCCGTACAGGAGGTACGCGGTGCCCGTCGGGAAACGAGCCTGATCCCCGGAAGCGTTCAGAGTCACTTCCGGTCGTTCTAGGAAACCGGGTGTGGGAGGACCCGCCCATCTGCCGAATGAGATCCCCACCCAGGACTCCCTCCTTCTCCTCCTCCTGCTAAGAGGAGACACCACTCTCAAGCCAGTTCGCACAGCCGAGGAGGTTATTTCAAAGCAGTCCAGAAACGTCCTGCAGGTCCAGCCATTCTGCACAGATAATGTAGGTGATTCCAGAGCCTGCAGAGGTGGAGGCCTCAAGGCTGGAACCTGTCAATGCTGACCAAACTGGTATATCTGAGACTTGGATAGTGACCATTAGTAAGTGGGCATCTCACCTTCCAACACACACAGCTTTGATACTTACTACACTTCCGTTAGGTCCAGCTGAAACGTAAATGACGATGATCACAGATAAAAAGCAATAACATATATACACATTTATTGCAGAATGAAAGTAAGGTATAGCAAGAATATGTCTTAATGAGACAGGCCCCCTTCTGAGAGTGGAGACCTAAAGTCTGAGCACCTACTGTCTTTTATATACTTATTATTTTGTCCAACCTGTCCCCTGGCAGTATTGACTGTCATTTCCCATCTTTGGGATGACTGACAGGTTGGGATTGCATAAAAAACTCCTGGCTCGGCACCTATGCTCAAGTGGCTAAAGTGCCAGCCACATACATCTAAGGTGGTAGGTTTGAATCCAGCCCGGGCCCACCAAACAACAATGATGGCTGCAACGAAAAAAAAAAAAAAGAAAAGCCAGGCATTGTGGCAGGCACCTGTGATCCCAGCTACTTGGGAGGCTGAGGCAGGGACTCACTTGAGCCCAGGAGTTGATGGTTGCTGTGAGCTGTGATGCCACAGCACTCTACCCAGGGCAATAGCTTGAGGCTGTGTCTCAAAAAAAAAACCTTGATGGTAATTCTGTAATCTCTTTTTTTTTTATTGAGGGAGAGTCTCACTTTGTTGCCCTTGGTAGAGTGCCATGGCATCATAACAACCTCCAACACTTGGGCTTAATAGATTCTCTTGGCTCGGCGCCTGCGCCTGTGGCTCAAGCGGCTAA